GGAAAGGCTACTAAAATGTTTGTGGTGGGTTGCTCAAAAAATGACAACTACTTTGATCTTATCTAGTAGAGCTTCCACATATGAGTTTTGGCTTCGAAAAATTATGGCGTTTCTCTCGTACCAAATTACCCACAAAGTGACAGCCATCGAAGCTCTCCACAGTAGGGTTCCAGCCTTGGGCCATAGGGTTGAGAAGGTTGAACTTAGAAGTTGCGGGACGTTTGGTGGAGTGACCCACTGCCATTGGAGTAACAAAAGGAGTTGAGCCCAAATAAATGAGGCGAACTTACAATGGACGAAGAGATGGGCATTGGTCTCCTCTGCTTCAGTACACATTATACATATGTTTTGGATTTAGATAAGAATCTAATTCGTTTCTCATAAAGAACTATTCTTCTTGGAAATCAAATCAAAACCCCTCTGTATGCGCTCTGCATCAAATTCGCTAGGCAAAACCATTATCATGGTAGCATTTTCTTTGAGGTTGAATTTGGATGGTTAACTTTTCCCTGTATATAGTTAATTGTATCTTTTACAAAGTAATGTGGGCAATTGACTGCATTACTATATACCTTCAGCTTTATGTTTAGTACCAATATTGCCGATCAAAGGTGCTTTATCGATATGGCGATATGTCCCGAATGGAACCATACCTAACCTTAATAGATGGAGCTACTCCATAGTGGTTGGGGGCGGGAGTGGGAACTGGAGTGCCTAGGAGGGCCATGGTTGAAGGCTGAAGCTCCCTATCTTGGGAGCACCATTCATGGAGTGGCTTGATATATGCATTTTATGTATTTGGGAGCACCCTTTATATATACACACACACGTGTGTGTGTCTATATATGTATATCGGGAAAGTATACAAAGTGACCGTTTATTTTAACTACAAAGAGGTCATAATCATTTTGTCCATCAAATTTCAAATCTGATTGTTGTTAGTGTATCATTGACTAGACTCCAAGTTAAAAAATGAATTTCTCGAACTTTGTGACATTGTAAGCTATCCAATTAGACATCTAATGGCTAATACCAATTGTGACCTTTTTGTACAAAAAATAATTGGTATATATATATTATAGGCGAATTGCTACAGTGTTTCGCCCCCGTCACATACATGCTATGTCCGTGACGGTTTTGCCTAAAAACTACCACGGACCTATGGGAGCCGTGGCGGTCCCTATATATTTTTTGCGTCAATTTTGAGTAAAAAAAATCCCGTTACAGACATGCTATATTTGTGACGAACCTCCACGGACATGCTATGTCTATGATGGTTATTAATCCATGCTGTCCAAAACAATCGGGCGGTGTCGAGCCTATGGGCGAAACCACTGTTCATTTTTCGTCCATAGGCATTTTTGAGTTTCTTCCATGTGTGTGTGTGTATATATATATATATATATAATATATATATATTATATCGAGTAGAGAGAGAGAGAGAAGAGAGAGAGTAGGTAGTAGTAGTAGAGCGTAGTAACTGTATAAACTTAACGACCGTAACGTAA